GAAGCCGGGGGGGGGCATTTCGCTACGGCGATTGCGCCTCAAGTCTCGCGGGTTATGGACGATGTTTCTCGCAGCGTGGTGCCTCCTCATCATGTCCTCTCTTCCTTTGCGGATGATCAATTCAGAATCACGGTGAAAGATATGCTCACCGTTTTGCAAGCCAATGGCAAGATCAACGATGAGGTGGTGAATTTCTACATGGCCCTTTTGGGACAGCATCCGCGACAAGTGCACGACCATCAGGCCTTCGAATCTTCAACTTCAATTCTTTTTTCTTCAGTATGCTGCAACTTCGAGGACACACTAGGGTGGAGAGGTGGGCTAAAAACGTTGATCTGCATCAGTTCGGTACGATCTTCGTTCCGGTGCACAAACATAACGATCACTGGATCCTACTTTCCGTTAATTTGAGAGACAATGTCTTCAAAATTTTAGACTTTTTTCCTCGCGTTAAAGCCGATTCCCATTTCTACCGTAGTGTTTTCGAGTTGATTGTACAGTATTTAGAACGTCATACCTCACATAGCCGGTCGGATGGGAGTTGGAAGACTATGGTCAGAAAAATTGTTGTGGAAGGAGTTCCAAGGCAAGTTGATGGAGCTGGTTGCGGGGTGTTCATGTTGACATTTGCAACGCTGTTGCAACGTGGTGATCAACCCCCTTTCAAATTCTCGAGTAAAGATTTGCCTGTTATTAGACGACAACTGGCAACATATCTCTTAGAAGGACGTTGTCTTTGACAATTTTCAATGACTTGTACAAAATTATTTAAATGTATTTCATTCTATGGCAATTGTATTTGGTAACATAAGACATTATTCAACTGTCTTTCTGAGTTCAACATTGTTTTCTTCATTGGGTCTGTTTCTCGTTGTCTTTGGATGCTCGCTGTCGGTATGGCAGTGGTACTATTTTTGTGCAGTTCAACATTGTTTTCTTGTAGTTGGATGACTTTTTTATGTGTGGACTTCGTCACCTGAGTCTCTTTTCGTGCAGTGGAACAATTCGTGTTGCGCTCTATGATTTCTATTGCAAGTGAAACGCACAGGGCACCGACATCGAAAGTTCAGATATCGGCGGACTACAGCCTCTTCGCCCCCCCGACAACAATCTTATGCTGTCGGGGGGGGGCGAAGAGGCTGTACTTCGCCGGCATCCGAACTTTCGATGTCGGTGCCTTGTGCGATTCACTTCCTCTGTATGTTGTGTGTAGAAAGTAAGGCGTGAAATTGGATTGCTGCCCCTTGCTTGTCACGACGGTTTGCAATTTTGCTATTTGAAGGCATTTGTGTTCTCGCGTGTCTTCTAGCCCTTAAATGACGTTCTCTCACTCTCTTTTCGTGCAATGGAACAACTCGTGTTGCGCTCTATGATTATTATTGCATGTACGACAACCTACATAAGACTCTTGTCGGGGGCGGGGGCGAAGAGGCTGTAGTCCGCCGATATCCGAAATTCCGATAACGGTGCTCGTTCATTTTCACTTGCGCTCGTCCTGTTCTGCTTTTGCACTGCTCTTAGAATTAGTCCACTTGTGGAAATTTTTTCTGGGGTGCATGGCAGTTTTAGACACCGTCGCGGGCGTGAGATTCATCTTGCATTTCCACGTGCCGTCCGCAGTGCTGCTTGCGTTTCCGCGTGCCGTGAGTTGCCTCTGCGCCATCACGTAACGGCCTCGCTGGGAGCAACTCTATGGGGGCACTGGTTTCTCTGAATTCACCGCAGTGGTCGCCTGCTGTCCAACTGCCTGTTCCGCCCCACTGCTAGGGTGCACCCATAACGTTTTCTTGTTGGTTATTCCGCTGCGAGCGCGCGCCTGGCCTATATAGGCACGGGCGTGAGCTTACACTACATCATTCACAAGCCATGTGTGAGAAACGTAAGGTTGGGGGTAAAAATCCCTTTTTCCACTCGTATCACCGCAACGCAGCGCACTATGTGGCACCCATAAGACCAGTGCCCGACATGAAGTCGGCCTGGATTAAGGTGGCCGGCCCCGATGCGGGCCGGCGCACTATGTGGCACCCATAAGAGCAGCACGCTGCTCTTATGGGGGATTGGGGGAAGGCTCAATCCCGGAGCAGTAAGCGCGGTAGTTCCCTTCTTCCCTTCCTCAACTCTGCCCACCGGAACTTTTGACGTTCCAACATTCAAACACAACAAGGATTCGACGTCATTGTGTTGCTGTGATTATCCATCAGTGGGGGTCGCAGGTTGTGCTGCTCAAGGCACCTTGCTCATCACAATCAAGGCACCTTGCTCATCACGATCAGAAATAAGTATGGATCTCAGCACACTTATCAAACTTCTCCGACAAGGATACAATCAAGGTGCCTTGCTCATCACAATCGAAAATAAGACTTAGTATGGATCTCAGCACACTTATCAAACTTCTCTGATAAGGACACAATCAAGGCGCCTTGCTAATCGGATTTATACATAAGTATGGATCTCAGCACACTTTCGCATATCAGGCACACCTTGCTCATTATAAACAAGTATGGATCTCAGCACACTTCCGCATATGGGGCGAAAGGATGGGTGAGTGGATGGATATGCCTCGGTTGCTTAGGCTGCAGCTGAAACTGAATTCGTTCGAAAGAGGATACAATATAATGTCCTATTTTAACGAATAACGTATTTTCTCCCATATCTTCTCTTCCATCTGCCATATCCACGCAACCCCTAACCTCCGTACCTCAGAACTCACCCACTAACACCTAAAACTAACTTCACCATCGAATTTGCGGCACTAGAAAACCCCCATTTTGCCTCCCTCCCCGATCGTTTCTGTTAAGAAACGGGAGGGATCTACATTTTCCCGCCATGCTATATCCACCCCCTTCGCTACCACCGCGCAGGACCTTTTCTTACTTCTTCATAACCCGCTCACCTAGCACTAAAACTAACATGTTCATTTGATTCGCCCGGGGCCAAAACCCCGGGATGGCATCCTATCTCTCTCGATTCCACCATGGATCGAGAGAGTTGTGCTCTCCTTCCCACGCCCGACTCTGCACCCCGCCATCTTCAAGCTTTTCCTTCTCTATGCATGCACCTGGCAAAAATCCCGTCTGGGTTCACTCCCCCTCTTCTTCTTCATAGCAGCCTGTGGCCCCTTGATACTGCGCTGCGCAGCGCTCTCCGTCGCTCCTCACCAGCCCGTCGCCCGTTCCCACTGCGTTGCAGCCCCTTGACTATCTTACCGCCTGCTGCCTCGGCTTCCTACCGCCTACTCCAACGTCCGTCGCAGTCTGGTCGAGTTATCTCGGCGATATCCCAAAAGTGGCCGACTACCCGGCGGCCCGAGTAGTCCTCCGCCCCCCTCTACCCTGCCCCGACGAGCGGTGTGTCCAGCAGATACTGTTGCCGCCCCTGCCACAGTTTCGCCCTGCTTTCAACGCGAAAGTGCATGGCCGTAGCGACCCACGACGCCCACGGTAGTTCGGTCAGGCTGGCCCCACGCAGCCCGTCATTCAGCCCTCCACCTTAGCTTGGCCGGCCGACCGTCCTCAGGGACGGCCCGCTATCTTTCGGGCCCCCAAAGGGCATGTTCACACTTGGACCCTTCTAGTTCCGTGGCTGATTGCCCACGGCCAGTGTCGCGCCCGAGAAAAATCAGGGCATAAATTTTAATAATAATGGCGATGAAATAACGGAATATCTAGGAACTTTTCACTCATAAAAAGAAAATTGTCGGCACCGTCCCGACGCCGCCAAATACCAACCGAAGGGGTATACTTCAAACTTTGAAGCAAACTTATTTTCTGTCATCTGCAAAAACCAGGGCGGATACCCTTGCAACGGTATTCGCACCGACAGCGTCGGGGATCTGTTGCGTTAAGGCTTTCGCTCGCC